CCTCATCCGCACAAACCCATACATAATTTATGTCTCTTGGTCATTTTTGCTAAATTTTTTACCTCATCCGCACAAACCCATACATAATTTATGTCTCTTGGTCATTTTTGCTAAATTTTTTACCTCATCCGCACAAACCCATACATAATTTATGTCTCTTGGTCATTTTTGCTAAATTCTTTACCTCATCTGTACAAACCCATACATAACTTATGTCTCTTGGTCATTTTTGCTAAATTTTTTACCTCATCCGTACAAACACATAAATAATTTGTCTCTTGGTCATTTTTGCTAAATTTTTTACCTCATCCGTACAAACCCATACATAACTTATGTCTCTTGGTTATTTTTGCTAAATTTTTTACCTCATCCGTACAAACCCATACATAACTTATGTCTCTTGGTTATTTTTGCTAAATTTTTTACCTCATCCGTACAAACCCATACATAATTTATGTCTCTTGGTTATTTTTGCTAAATTTTTTAAACTCATCCGTACAAACCCATACATAATTTATGTCTTTTGGTTATTTTTGCTAAATAATGGGAAATCTGCTCTTTCTATTCGTTATAAGTATGCCATTCAACTTCTAATGTAAAACATCTGTATTGTGTAGTTTGACCATCTGAAGGAACTGTGCATTCCAAACACACAGTTTCTTCTGTATCAACTCTTAAACTTGAGAAACTGTAACCGCGAGATCATGTGACAGCAAAAAGTGCAGTTTTAACTATTTCTTTAGAAATAAAGGAATATATAACTTAGATTATGTAAAACTTTGTTAAAATACATTGATAGTAAAGAGGTTTAATTAAATTTTGAATGTAACTCAGTTCCATACGCAGATAGGTATTTAAAAATGGCATCGACAGTTATCGGGTTAAATATAACACCAGGTTAAGATGCTAAAATGGAATGTTGAACATTTTAATGGTGGGTGTAGCTTATGGAATTCCCAAAACTTCCCCCCCTTAAATTAAGTTAACCATCTTGCTCATCTTCAAAATATCCATTCAATGATGTTACACCTCTTAAGTACCTACTCAAAAAATCAGTCTGGAATTTCTTTTATATTTTAATGTTTATTTGAAATCTTGTAGTTTAAAGAATTTTGGGAGTATGGACAAAAGCAGTAAAAAATTAGCAATTTTCAAAATGTAGCATAATAACAATCTATTCTACAAAATTTACTAAAACTGTTAGGGATCAACACATACAGTTTTAGAAAAAAACTTCTCAAAATTAAAATTTTTTTTCAAGTTTCAGTTTTAGCCACAAAATAAAATGTATTTTGTTTCTTGAAAATTAAGCACCAAACTTTCAGCCAGATGGATGAGTTTGTGAGTGTATAAATTAGGATCCTTTCAACAGTCATAAGTACTAGTGATTGCCGTCCAGGTTAGTGAAAGTTACTGTGTATGCTACAGTGTATCGTAATCACGTGTGCTTCAACTTGATATGATTATCATTTAACGACAAAAACAGAAAAGTTGGATTGTACATACTGAAGAGATTTTTGAAGTTCAAGTGAGTTAGAGCTTTAAATTTGTTTCAGTTGTTCTTGCAAAGTTTCATAAAAGCTACCTGGACTCAACATCCCTAATTTTGAACTGGCACACTACAGGGAAGGCAGCTAGTCAATGATACCTACTATCAACTGTTAAGCCATTCTACTCAAGTCGAGGGATTTGATAGACTCTTGCAATGCACACATGGCTCCAAAATGCACAGTGCAATTTTTCTGTCAACTGCATGTAAGCCATAATATCCTCTAGGCAACGTCCAGCCCAAGCTTTAAATTAGGTTTCAGGATGTTAGCATTTTAAATCTGCACACCTACCTTTTTCTGGCACTCAACAAGTTTTCCAAAATTTCTGGAAGGATTCCTTTTCTAACAGACTTCTTAACAAAATAGTTATCAGAAGGAGTTTTAATGAACTCATCAGGATTCATCTGGTTTCTAGTCTGATTTGGCAAGAGTGTTGTGTAACACAGATTGTGAGCAATCATGATAGATGGATATAGTGAAGAAAAGTCCAGAGTTGCAATTGGGTCTTTGTAATATCCTTTCACAGGTTCGATGACTGTAGCACCTGTGAAGTCATCACCTTGTTCAGGGTTGTGAACTGGTATGACAAGGTCATGTTCTTTTGCCTAGAAACAAAGCATAAGAATGAACAATTAAATTTATCTGATACACAAGTCTCTATAACATAATACCCAAAGTAAAAAACAGTTTCCATAATTCTGAGCTTAAGAAACATCATTAAGTCCAGTGCTGTAGTGCTAAATAAAGAACTGAGGGAATACATTTTGAAATTGTTACTATTATTAGTATTTATTACGTTGCTTAAACAAAAAAACACTTATCTCTGAAATATTAGTTGTAAATTGTAATCGAAATTACATTTGAAAGTTTTACAATAAAAGATTAACCTTGAACTTTTGAATTCCTGGATAACTTATTAACAGAACTTCTAAACTTTGTCTATAGTGAGATCCTTGGACTTGGCTACTCTTGTTCGTGTATCAGTTACTGAACGATGACACCTGAGCCATTTGTATACAGTCCGTCTGGTTTACAGTTTTGAATTGGAGGGCCGTGAAGTTTAATGAACATGTGATTTGTCACATGGTTGGTTAACAGCCTAGACCTTGTTTCCGTAGTGATAAGGTTCATGCTGCTCAAGCCTCATTCACATTCGAAAGAACTGCATGGGATGACTTTTGAATACCCAATTAAAGGTTTCAGATCTGATGGAATATGGTGCCCACAGTTATCTAGAGAGTCTGAAACTTTTGCAAAGGAACCCTATTTTCTTTTATCCAAAGTCTGGATTTATCTCTGCTGGCCACTCATTGACTTCTAAGGTATGGAGGTCGGAAATTATGTTTGGAATTAGAAAAGCGTGGCCATGACCCAGTTGGTTCACAAGAAGATGGTGTGAATACCCACCATTGTTTCACATTGTTTATGATGCTGGTTAAGAATTGACCATGATGATTGACACAATCTTGTCGTTATCTGTCAGTGTTATTAATAAAACTTCATTTTTTTAATGGCATTCTCTGCTTCTAAAAACCGTATGTTGTGACAAATTGACTTGACTGCAAAAACTATAGTAATATTTCTTTTCTGTAAAGCTTCGGAAAGAAGCGATAGGTCGATTAATACCCGGTGCATAAGTGCCAGATCAAGAAGAACCTGTTTTGATGAAATGCATGTATAAAGCCCCCTGAAAGCACATTGGTCATAATTCGATTGATTTTTATCAATGCCATTGCTAACAGACTCGAAGTTATAACACAGAGACGTATAGCCTTTCGAAACAGCTGAAACAGTTCTGAATGAACTTGCAACCCATCTAGTTTCAACACTCTTTCAGTTTTTTCAACTCTTAATCAAACTTTGCTTCATACTGTTGAATTTCTCTTTGGTTCTTAGGAGGTTGACTGCATAAAAGAGTACAGTTTGTCCATAAATGAACAAAAATTATTAACACCACGTAATTGGAAATTACATCTCCAACTGACAGTTCCAAGCGATCATTTAAGAAATGAAATACTATTATATTAGAGTACTTCTGAAACATCCGTTAAGCCACACCAACATTATCACTGGTAAAAGCAACAAGATTGTTCTGAAGATAATTATGTTCAAACCCCTGCACACCGAGACAAGTAGGTTAGTGTTCGCTTATTATTTTTGATGTTTGATCAGATACTTCTACCAAATCCACAAAAATAAAATGTTGATCACTTGCCTTGTCTGTTTCATATTTTAAATAGACTTTCAAAGTGGATTTGCTACTAAGAGTGGTGGACTCATCTATCAGCATAGCTATTTTCCCTTTTATTTCTAGCATGCGTTTGCAGACTCTCGACCTTATTTCTTGTGCAACTTGGTCAATTCTATTTTTAACACTAAATTGTGAATGCAAACCTTGTCAAATTTCTATGCCATTTAATCCTTGCAACTGCAACAGATCAAAATGGTCAGAATATGGTTTATCATATTTTTCTATATAATATACACTAAAAGTTTTGCAGGTAGCCTCTACTTCAGATTTATTTAAACGACCCACAATAGTTTGAAGTTGTTGTTTTTCCTTTACACACTCTGAAGACTGTTTACACCACTGTCATGTGACTGTGTCTTTAAAGGACGTAGAATTTTTTTTCTCAAGGATGTTAGTTGCACTAATCGTGTGCTGCAGATGAAAGAAACTGAACTCCATTCTCTGGAAAAACTAGAGACTCGTGAGTTAAATGGGCCTAGATTTGTCACACTAGAGCATGCTGCATATCCGATAAGATTTGTCACACTAGAGCGTGCTGCATATCCGATAAGATTTGTCACACTAGAGCATGCTGCATATCCGATAAGATTTGTCACACT